TAAACCAAAGCAAAATTGTATTTCAAGAAGTCATTTTAGGAGCTATAAAGGATGTATATATTTCATATCGATGCTATAAATAGCCTTTATTATTATTAACAATCTTCTAAACCTCTGTATATTTCCAGGTCAAAGGCCAGTAACTGCTTGCTTCAGACAAATCCCCAGAGCCTCAATTCTGTGATTATTCCTTCAAAACTTCCAGGGATGACATATACTGCAGATGAGCAGTGTCAGATTCTCTTTGGACCAACAGCTTCATTTTGCCAAGAAATGCAGGTGAAAATAATGATTTATTTTAATTTATCCCATAATAAATCTAATTTTTGCCTTTTTGTATTCTATAATAGAGTAAGAAGAGTGAAGGATTAAAGAATTAAGGAAATACATGTTAATTCTAAAGTGTTTATTCTAAGCTATCCCAGATTGTTTCCATCCTGTCTCACATTTTTCAGTTTGTAAAGGGCAGGTGCTTTATGACAAGAAGATGGTTTCATATTTGCTGTGTGGAGAAAATATGATATTTCTTCTTCCACCTCTACTGCCTGAGCCCCATTCTTTTCCTATTTTTAAGGGGAAAAAGTGAATTTTTGTCACAGGAAAAGTATTTCTGGTTTGTGAGGACAAGAACTAGGGTAAGTTTATTAGGAAATATATCACATGTTTTATCCAGTATTACAACCTCAGGTCAGAAGGGTAAGATTAGTAGTACTGAAACTTGTGGAAAGAGGAAAGTTAGCACCAGAACATCTGCTAACCTTTATCTCAGGGTATATAGCACATGGACGCAGTATGTATGGATGTATTTCTGACAGGACAGAGATTCCTGAATAATTCTTACTATCCTACAAAGAAATATTTTAATTTATCAGGTAGTCTCATAAATTTGTTATATGAAAAATATAAGGCTTAAAAAATATTCCCTTGCTTTTCATAGTGGACCCAGATTTGAATGAGTTTTCCTAAATTTAGTTGAATGTTGGTAGTTGTTGTGACTGACCAGACAATTTGAGCTAAATCTAATAGTTAGCCCCAATTAAGTATTGCCCTAAGTCCCATTCATTCAGTAGGTCTGCAATAATTAGAACTGTTGTCCTTTGCCCAGCTGGCAAAGGCCTTTCTGTCCTGGCAGATTTTGGGCAACTGACTAATTGATGAGGAAGGGGCTTCTGATGAAGGAGGGGATTGCTGTACTATCCTTATTGTTGCATTCTTAATTCCTTTTAATCTAACTTTAAATTTATAATTTTAAATGGTATTTTAATATTATGAGGGATGCAATGGCTCAAATGGATATGATGCTGACTCTGTTGATTGCAAGATTGGCAGGTTGGCAGTTTGAGGCCCGGGTACTGTATGATGGGATGAGCTCCTGTCACAAGTCCCAGCTTCTGCCAACCTAGCAGTTTGAAAGCTTGAAAATGCGTAGATAAATAGGTACCACTTCATTTGGAAGGTAAACAGTGTTCTGTGCAATCATGCTGGCCACCTTAATATTATATTTTTATGCTTTCATCTGTACCTTTTTAAACTTGTTGAAAACCACTGTCACTCCCAGTTTGAGGGAAAATGTACCCTATAAATCAGATAAATATATAAAATGTCACCTTTAGGTGATTTCAGATACCTTATTTCTCCATTCACACTGCAAACAAAAAAAGATTTGAATCTATCATGGGTTTTTCTTGGAAAGATTTGTTTAGAGGGGGTTTGTCACAGGCACAGAGCATGTGATTTACCCAAGGTCACACAGTGGTTTTTTATGGTGGAGCGAGGATTCGAACTCTGTTCCCCAGAGTCGTTCATAGTCCAATACTTAAACCACTACATTACATTCACTCCTAACATTGCTTTTAGGGTCTTGAAGGCACACAACAACAACTACAAAGGCTATATTTCAAAGGAAGGAACTGACAAAACCACTCCTGAGTATCCCTTGCCTAGGAAAACCCTTTGAAATTCATGAGGAAAAAGTGCATAAAATAAAACTCTTCACACATACCTTTTTCTTTTTCAA